AGGTAGGCGCTGTTATTATCCTCACTTTACAGCTGAGGAAATGGAGGCAAACAGAGGTTAAGGGATGTGCCCGGAATTACACAGCTGGGATATGTCGGAGGCCACATTTGAACTCAGGTCTTTCAGCCCTCTTCAGCACTCTATACAATGAGCCACCTAGTAGACTTGAGCACAAATTTGACCTCAGATTTGACCACTATCTATGTGACCCCTGGGCAAATCACTTAACTTCTCTGTGCCTCAGTTTCCTTGTCTGTAAAATGAAGATAATAATAACTCCTACCTCCCAAGGTTGTTGTTGAGGATCAAATGAGGTAATACCTGAAATGCTAGCTGCTATTATTATGATTATCATCACTGCTATTATCTGTCCAAGAAAAAATTACTTTATTTGGCCTGCTGTTCCTAACCAATATAAAAGTTTCCTCCATTAACTTAGATGTGGGGGCTGATGTCTTTTTTTTTTTTAATTAAAGATGCCAGCTAAATAAATGGTCAGTAGTACCCATGACAACTATAGACTGGTACAGTAAAATAAAAAAGACAGTGGGAAGGGGGATAGAGAGAAGTATTCAGGAATGGTCTCTATAGCAACAGAAGAGAAGGGATGCTCCTTTAGGGAAGGGTAAGCTGAGCTCTGGACCTCCCTCTCCCACACCCAAAAGAAAAAAAGACTCTTTGGAAGGGCTGCATAGGAGATGGATAAGAGAGGATACAGAGGGAAGGGGTGGTGGATCGGAATCAGAAAAAAGCAAATGACTAAACTATTTTCGACAGTAATTTAAAATGCCAATGCTCATTAAAGGCACTCCACGGTAACACCTAGAGTATTCTGTTTTGATTGACGAAGGTACGTTGGCATCATAGCCAAAAACTCCTTGAGTCAAACATGTTAGTGGTGCTGTGACCAAAGTGCCAGAGACCTCATAGACCAGCTGAGAAACCATGGACAAGCGACTCCCGCTCTCAGGGCCTCAGTTTCTTCATCCATTTTCAGTCCGGACCTGTGATTTCATCAGTGTGGGGAACTCCTGGTGAGGAACCCCCCTCTATCAATGCAGATTAGCTCCTTCTCAGTTATTTAGAGCTTTAGAGAGTTGCTTGTGGGCACTGAGGAGGCAGCAAGGTGGCTCAGTGGGCCTGGAGTCAGGAAGACCTGAGTTCAAATCCAGCCTCAGATACTTACTAGCTGTGTGACCCTGGGCAAGTCACTTAACCTCTGTTTGCCTTAATCCACTGGTGAAGGAAGTGACAAACTGCTCCAGTATCTTATATGGACAGTGTGGTCCACAAAGTTAGGAAGAGCTGGACATGACTGAACAACAATTGAGAAGTTAAGGACCTGCTCAGAATCACACAGGCACTATGTGTCAGAGACGGGACTTGAACTAAGGTCTTCCTTCCTCCAAGGCAGGGAAGACTCTCTACTACTCCACACTGCCTCTCAGTACTCCCCTTGCCCTACCTATATACTACTAGTACTATCTACCTCACTCACAGCATTGGTATGTAGAAAGTACCTTATAAACCTTAATAAGTCACATTTACATAGAGCTTTAAGGACATCTATTCTCACATTAAAAAATAAACAAACACTGGTGTATGGAAAACAAAACTCATCTCATAGTTAAACTATGAATTTTCATACCTGGAATCTTATATAAAAAGTGAGCAACCAGGAGCCAAGATAGCAGAGAAAAGGCTGTGACTCACCTGAGCTCCCCCCAAAACCCAGACAAACACCTTTAAATAATGCCATAAAACAATTGCTGAAGTGGCAGAACCCACAGAAGGATGGGGGGAAATAATTTTCCAGCCAAAGGTGACTTAGACGGTCAGCAGGAAAGATCGGTTGCACCTGGGTTGAGAGTGAAGCACAGTCCTGTGCGGCCTGGGCCAGTGCAGACTGGTTCCCAGCAAACCCAGCCATGGCAGTGACTGAATCAGCAGCTGCAGCACCAATGGCTGCTTCTAGAGCTCTCAGCCCACAGACGATAAGGGGGTTGAACAACTAATCAGAAGGAGATGACAGGTGTCTCTTTGCTAGCACTGAGGCAGGACTTTTTTGCAGTGGAGGGGTAATGGCGGAGGTGGGGTGTGAGTGAATCTTACTCTAAGCAGAATTGGCTCAAAGAAGAAATAACATACACACTCAACTGGGTATAGAAATTTATCTTACCCTATAGGAAAGTAGGAGAGGAAGGGGATAAGAGAAGGGTGGGTGATAGAAGGGAGGTCAAATTTGGGGAGGCAGTAGTCAGAAGCAAAACACTTTTGAGGAGGGACAGGGTGAAAGGAGAGAGAGAATAAATGAGGGTTGGGAAAATAGGATGGAGGGAAATACATTTAGCATTCATAACTGTGAAAAAATTTTGAAGCAAATTCTCTGATAAAGGCCTTATTTCTCAAATATATACAATACTGAGTCAAATTTATAAAAATAGAAGCCATTCCCCAACTGATAAATGATCAAGAGATATGAACAGTTTTCAGATGAAGTAATCAAAGCTATCTATAGCCATATGAGAAGGTGCTTTAAATCACCATTGATTGGAGTAATGCAAATTGAAACAATTCTGAGGTATTACCTCATACCTATTAGATTGGACAGAAAAAGAGAACGCCAAATGTTGGAGGGGTGTGGTGAATATAGGACATCAATGCACTTGTTGGTGGAGTTGTGAACTGAGTCAACCATTATGTAGAGCAATTTGGAATTATGCCCAAAGGGCTATCAAACTGTGCTTACCCTTTGACCTAGCAGTGCCACTACTAGGTGTGTATCTAAAGAGATAAAAAACAAAAGGGAAAAGGACCTTTACATATGGAAATATTTATAGCAGCTCTTTTCTGATGGCAGGGAGTTGGAAATTGGAGAATACCCATCAGTTGGGGAATGGATGAAAAAACTGTGCTATGTGATCGTGATGGGATACTCTTGTGCCATAAGAAATGATGAGCAGGATGCTCTCAGAAAAACCTGGGAAGACTTACGTGAGCTGATGCAAAGTTAAATGTACTGTGTACAAAGTAACAGCAATATTGTAAGATGATCAGCTGCGAAAGATTTCGCTATTGTCAGCAATACAATGATCCAAGACAATTCTGAAGGACTTAGAATGAAAACTGCTATCCATTCTCAGACAAAGAACTAATGGTGTCCGAACACAGATTGAAGCATGCTTTTTTAACTTAATTTTTCTTGAGGGTTTTTTTTGGTCTGTTTTCTTTCACGACATGACTAATATGGAAATATGTTTTACATGACTACACGTGTATAACCTATATCAAATTGCTTGCCTTCTCAATAAGGGGAGTGGGGAGGAGAAGGAAGAGAATTTGGAACTCAAAGTTATAAAAACGACTGTTAAAAATTTTCTTTACGTATAATTGGGGAAAAATAAAATACTAAATAAATTTTTTGAAAAAGAAAAAAGTGAACAATGTCTGATATTCAGCCAGAGTAAAGCTCTCTTCTCACCAGGACCCTTCAAAAACTCTTGGGTGTAGAGGTGTCGCACATACGGCCAGGGGGTCCACACTCCTGAGTTTTGCCCAGACCAGATTAAAATGTAATTGTAATTTCATACAATTAAAATGTGATAGTTTTTCCTTCTTCTTTTTGTCAAGGCAATTGGGTTTAAGTGACTTGCCTAGGGTTACACAGCTAGCTATTAAGTGTCTGAGACCAGATTTGAACTCAGGTCCTCCTGACTCCAGGGCAGGTGCTCTATCCACTGCACCACCTAGCTGCCCCAGATAATTCTTCCTTCTATCAAGTCTAAATCAGCCTCTTTTCAACTTCTAGGTAAATCCAGAAGCAGCAAGGTGGTACAATGAATAACTGGGCCTAAATTCAAATCCAGCCTCGAATATTTACTAGTTGTATGACTTGTTTTCCCTTGTTGATCCCTGCCTCTCTAATTTAAAGATTTTGATTCTTTGAATAGAAAGAGCAAAGTGTTTTACCTAAGAAATATTTGGGGATTCAGGCTCAGGAAGCATAAACATTTCACTGACTGAGGCTACCTAAGTGTTTAGTGTAAAGTAGGGGTCCTTAACCTGGGGTCTGCAAACTCATTTTTTGAATATTTTGATAACTGTATTCCAGTGGATTTGGTTTCCTTTGTAATCTTATGTATTCTATTTTATGATTCTGGGAAGGGATGCCCAGGCTTCACCAGACTGCCAAAGGAGTCCATGTCAGGCCAAAGGTAAAGAACTCCTGGTATAGACACAATCTGCTTTCAGATATAGTAGAATATTTTTGATCAACTAGATTGCCACATATGTTCTAAAATAAGTACCTAAGAGGCATTATTATCTTTTTCTCCTGAGGCAGTCAGGGTTAAGTGACTTGCCCAAGGTCACATAGCTAGTAAGTGTCTGAGGTCAGATTTGAACTTAGGTCCTCTTGACTCCAGGGCCAGTGCTCTAACCACTGGGCCACCTACCTGCCCCAAGGCATTATTTTAAGATGAGTTTGTCTCCCCACTCCCCCCAACCCTGAACTTCCTTTTATATGTTTTGTTCCCACATTAGAATGGAAGGTCCTTGAGGGCTGATTCTGCCTTTTTACTTGTATTTGTATACCCAGTGCTTGGCATACGGTAAGTACTTAATAAATGTTTGTTGAATGACTGATTTCCTAAAAATATTCACATTCAGTTTTCTATCGAATTTTCCTATTTACAAAAGTAGTTATGCTCGGACACCACTTGAGCCATACTGAGCACATAGCAGCCAAGTGGTAATCTTCCTTGGCTGCAGTCATGATTACCTTGAAGAACAAAAGTATTCCATTATTTCAAGCATTATGAATATCTAATAACTGCTTCTTTGAACTTGGTTGTGGCTTTTGAATTACAATTTTCAGCAGGATCTCTTGAAAGCCTTCAAAGCTATCACTCATTAGTTCTGTTTTTAGGTCTTTTGATGTATGATACACACCCCCTACCCCCACCCCCATCCTCTAACCCCCCCACATATGATCAAGATACCTTAATAATGCTCTGACAAGTGGAAAGAGGGAGGCCAACAAGGCTTGTGCCATTAATGGACATGATTTGGTCCCCGATATTTAGTTTTCCTGATTTCTCTGCTGGTCCTCCATGCATCATGTTGGCTATAATCACTGTTGGCAAGATGGATCCCCAGCCAGACTCCACAATCACCACACCCAGGATTTCACCCTTTTGCTTCTCTATAAAAACCTAAAAGGGAAGAAACACATAAAGCGTGAATCGGACACCATCTGTGACAGCAGGAGACAATAAGGTCCTTTCCTTCTTCACTTTTCCGAAATAATCTATTTCCTATACTGCTCTCTCCCTTTTCTGAAATCCTACAGACTTAGTTTGTTCCAAATGATTGGTCACTTAATAATATTCCTTTCTGGGACTAATATATAATATGTTTTACATGACTGCACATGTAAAACCTATGTCAGCTTGTTTACTGTCTTGGGAGGGAGAGTGAGAATTTGTAACTCAAAATTAAAAAAAAACGTTGAAAATTGTTTTTACATGTAATTGGGGGAAAATAAAATGTGATTAAAATAACAATATTATTTTATTTTCTGGGTTAATTTATATAGCATTTGCTCAGAAAGAGTCTCATTTGTATCTCCAGCACCTGTAAATGCTGGATGCTTTTTAAAGTTTTTCATCTGACATTTAATAAACAGTTAGGAATGGCAACATGAGCTGGTAGAAAGAACGCTAGATGTGGCATTAGGAGAGACCTGAGTTTGAATCCTGGCTCTCACATTTATTATTATTATGGTTCCGCATCCACAAAGTGAAAGGCAGCAGAGTGTGATGGCTAGAGAGAGGTAGCTACACAGTCATCAAGACCCAGGCCGAAGTTCTGCTTCTGAGTGACCTTGGGTGAGTCACTTAACTTTCAAGGACCCCAGGCCACTCTACAGAAGGACTGTGATTTGCAGAACAGTGCTACTTTTGCATTGGCCTAGAGAATTTCCTGTACAATGGAATCACAAGTATGGACTATAAAATAAGTGGACATAATAAAATACTTGCACTGGGTGGTGCAGGGGGTAGAGCACTGACCCCAGACACTCGCCAGCTGTGTGACCCTTGGCAAGTCACTTTGACTCTCTCAGACTCAGTTTCCTCATTGGTAAAATGGGGATAACAATAGTACTTCAGGGTTGTTGTGAGGTTCAAATGAGGTAATACTTGTAAGTGAAGTGCTTTGCAAACTTTAAAGTGCCTTATAATTGCTAGCTATTATTATTGTCATCACAATATCGTTGTGAGGAAAATGCTCCATAAACCTGAAATAGCACAACATAAATGTGAGTTGCTGCTGATTTATTACGGTGTACATGACACTGTGCTAAATGCTTAAGAAATAACTGAGGTAACACCTCATCATAACTCCCAACTATTTCTGAAATTTCCAAATTTTCCAATAAATTTACCATAGAGAGGCAGTGAATCACAGTGATTCAAGAGTTGGCTTCAGTTGGTAAGACCTGGGTTCAAATCCTGCCCTTGACACATATTAGCTGGGTGACCCTGGGTAAGTCAATTATCTTCTCAGATAACTCTCTAAGAAAGTTAAGCTGAAGATCAGGTGCAGATCTACATTGTCAGAGGGAGGTTCCTTATTTGCATCTCCCTATACCAAAGAAATCACAGGTCTATGTCTTTCTTCCTCCCCCCACCCTCCAAACAACAAGAACAAAATTAACTGATTCCAAAAAAGGCTGGGAATCATTGGTTTGTAATCTAAGACATGGATGGCTAGTAGGAAGACCATAATCAAAATATAGGGGAGAGGTTGAGGAGAAAGGGCGAGGCTACATTACAACGTCTTTGCTGGGGTCAGGGAAAAGGAGATGGCATTCAGCTTTGGATACCTTAAGCCTGGTGTCAAGGTGGGGCCAAACAAGAAATCATGATAAAATAAAAGCTTTTCCAAATCTGGATTCAACCTAATTTCCTGGCTTCTTCTCCCTTATATCAATTTTGCTCTAGGCAAAATGGTCTTATTGCTCCTCAAACACACCTTGTGTTTTCCTAGCTCCAGGCCTCTTTGCTCACATGGTTTATCCATCTGATATACCAACCCTACTCAGTCTTCACCTTTCTACATTCTACTCATCCTTGAAGAACTAGCTCAAATCTTACCAAGCCCATAAGACTTTCCCAACTCACCCTGAAGTGATTTAACCTTTCCCTACCACTTTTGGTCTATTTATAGCATTCATCTGGTAATCAATTGTTATATCTGGGTTGTCTTCAACTCTTACAAGATGTCTCAAAAATCTTGGGGCAATTAAAAAAATTTTTAAATTAAAATTTTTTTTTAATATCCCACAAACTTTTAGGACACCCTGTACTTTAATCTTGTATTACTATACAGCCATTCATACTCCTTTTATCCCTCAATTAGATTTTAAGCTCCCTGAAGACAAGGTCTTGTTTAATATTAATGCAGTTATTATATTCCTTCTCTGAACCTAGCTTGGAGCTTTACAGGTATTCAATAAATAATGTTGGATCCCAGGTTCAAAACAGACATGCTGTATTCTGTGTACCCATTCTTCCCGTGGACACTCCTCTCCCTCCTCTTCCCGCCTCCCAGGAGTGGTACCCCATATTGCCCTCCATTTCCTGCCCTGCATTCATGGTGCTTAGCCTGGAGATTAGAGAGGTACCTACATCTTTGCAATTTTCAGACTTGGAGAAGTGGATCAGGTCATCATTGTACATGTCTTGGGTGTTGAGTAGGTCACTGTATTCCTTCTGGCTGAGATCTTCCGGGTTGATTCCATTTGCCCTGAGGAATTCCTGGTAGGCCACACTAAAGGCTTGACCAATGGACTGGGCAATCAGCTGGGCCTAGGAGTAGCCAAAGAAAGAGGAAAAAGCAGCAAAGGTCAAGTGTTTGCCAATGCATTGACCGGCCTCTTAGATCAGGGTTAGAGAGCTTCTGGAATTTTTCCCTATAGCAATGAATTCTCAAGGTTTAAATTTTAGATATTTTTCCATTTGTTTTTTAATTTTGGGGGTGTTAAGGATCATAGGTTATAAACCTAGAGCTAGAAGGGAACTCAGAGGCCACCTAGCCCAACTGTTTCATCTTACAAATGAGGAAAGTGAGGCCATAAAACTGTACAGATAGTAGTAGTACCAGATGGAGTTTGACCATAGGTTCTCTGGTTCCCAGAGCTGGTACTGATCCCACAGTACTGCTGCATGTTTAAAATAATGAGGTGGCAGCACAGCACAAGGAAAAAGCACTGGTTCTGGAGCCAGTAGAAATTCAACTACGAATGCAATCATTAAGCCAATATTTAGACTTAATATCTATGTGACAATTGCTTCATCCTGGGCCTCAGTTTCCTCATCTGTAAAATGAAGATGTTAGACAAGATGGCTTCTAGCTCCAGATCTATGATTTTTCTCCCATAATTTTCATCCCTTTCTTCCCTACCACCCTTTGACCTCTAGTCACAAGAGCTGGTGGACACCCTATATACCAAACAGGAGGAGAAACATCTCTCATTTGGAGAAGTGACTGTTCACATGTCAGGGTTTGCTTGCAGGGTATGATGAATAATTATCCTTGTTTATGTAAGGAGTTCAGATGGACATTACAAGGTTTTGTTTCATTGATTAAAGAAATGTGCCTTGCAGCACAAATACACTCCCCACGGTGGAGCTTTTCTGAGTGTCATGAATGGACACAACCAGCCAGCTTGCCCCCCTGGGCCTCCTGAAAGCACAGAGGGGATATCTGTTCTCTCACCTACTGTTTTCTTAATTTTCCTTGCTCCCTTCTCATAAGAAAACAGGAAGGAAATGAAACACATTTTTTTTTAAAAATAAGCCTGGAGCAAGGTAAAGGTGAACAGATTTAAATGAAGAAAAGACAGGAAATATGAAATCCAGACTCGCAAGCAAAGGCTTACTTTCATAGAAATTCAACTACGAATGCAATCATTAAGCCAATATTTAGACTTAAGCTGAGGAACTCAAGGATCTCAATTTGAAGTATTTCCTGTCTCTTCCTATTCCATCAGGACCTGCTTTTGTCCTAGCATATTTTCCTTACAAATGATTCAGGGGCAAGGAGAGGAATTTTACCTGATGCCTACTTAATGGCATCATTTTGGTGGTATTTTAGATAAAGAGAGAAGGGGGGGAGGCAGCTGGGCCTATTGGATGGATCACTGGACTTGGACTAGGGAAGACCTGAGTTTGAATCCTGCCTGAGATATTTATCAGCTGTGTGACCCTGGGCAAGTCACTTTAATTTCTCCGAGCCTCAGTTTCCTTATCTCTAAAATGGAAGGGGGAGACTAATGGTCATCTGAGGTCTGTTCTAGTTCTAAATTTATGATTATATAATCCTATGAGGCCCCTAGTAACAACAGGCATGATTACAAAGATGCTAACAGATTCTATCCTAGTAAGGTTTCAGGTAAATAAACTATGGTCCCCCTTTAAAAAATAATCTTTTCTAGTCAGGAGTACTAAGCACCTGGAAAGAAGCAATTTATTTCCCCACTAGAGGAACATTTATTGGAAAAGAAGTCTGTTTCTTTTTTCAGGGAGTCAAGCAACTAGGCCACCAGACCTAATTTTCCTGTGCAATCCCCTATAGAGAACACAGTTTATTCACTGCAGAATGCAAACTTAAAAAAAAAATAACATTTTTTCATCATCAACAGCACCGACATAACATTTCTTTATTTGTCACAGAACTGTGGAACCCGAGTCTATTATGTGGATATGATGGACTCATCTGAAAGGTAGAACCAAAGACTTGAGGCCTGCCTCACTAAGGATTTGGAAATGGCTCTGTTACTCCACTATCACACTGCCTAATGCATGGTGACACAGTTCAATCCAACAAGCATTTATTAAGCACCTATTATGTGTAAGGCACTATGCTAGGTTGTGGAGTGGGTATACAAAGAAAAAAAAAAAACAAAGACAAATGCTAGGCAACCCCTGTCAAAGGCTCTATCACGAGCCAGATAAGTCTCTCTCCAGGACCAATTTTAAAGGTAAATAGCAGATAAAATTGAGAAACAGGTATTCCCCCAGACTTTTTTCTTCTTTTTGCCCAAACCCAGGCTGCCCAGATCCCTTTAGAAAAGAGACCTGACAGGGGCAGCTAAGTGGTGCAGTGGATAGAGCACCGGCCCTGAAGTCAGGAGGTCCTGAGTTCAAATCTAGCCTCAGACCAAACACTTGATACTTACTAGCTGTGTGATCTTGGGCAAGTCACTTAACCCCAATTGCCTTTAAAAAAATAAATTAAAAAAGAAAAGAAAAGAGACACGATTCACTCAGATTGCTAATAGGAGCTGGGAATTGGTCACCTATTCTAATCTCTCCAGTGAGACAGACAACCACCCATAAGGGCTTAGTATTTTTCCTTCTACCAATGCATCTTCTCTACAACTTATAGTCTTACAGAGTTACTTACAACAGTGTCAAACTCAAATAGAAATAGGGGCCACCTAGACATACATAAAGATTCCTGTGAGCCACATGTTGACTTAGAAAACTACATATTCACATTATCTATGTTCTATTGTATTTTTATTTATTTTATTAAATATCTCCCAGTTCTGTTTCTGGTGTGTATGACCCCCCCCCCGTGCCAGAGAGCACTGAGAGGTCGGGGTCACCCAGCCAGAATGTTTCAGAAATAGGACTCGAACCCAGGTCTTCTCAACTCTGGGGCCACTTCTGTCTCTTCACAAACTAATTTTCCATATTTCCTAAAAAGTATAGAAGACTGGGATTTCATCTGGAGGTAGGAAATATACATTTTTTGAAGGGAAAGAAAACTTGCTGCCTTTAGGATTTGGAGAGAGCATTTGGATTAGGAACTGGGTGGCTTCTGACTTTGTTAGCACCATTCCAAGATCTGCCACTGACTCCCTCTGTGAACCCTTGATACTCAGCTCACAGGGCCCAAGTTTTCTCATCTATAAAATGAGCCTATAGAGCCTAGATGATTTTTTAAAGCCCTTTACTTATGTGAAAGTCTGTTACTCTATGGAAATAAATCAGGGGTATGCTGGAACCAGCTCAAATGAGCTCTCAAAAGCTGACTGTTAAATTTTCATTATGAACATTTACATCTCATGAATCAGCAAATACTACAAATTAGGGCTAGATTTACTGTTTCATTGATTATGTAGACTCAAGGAAGGGATGGAGAAAATATTAATAATGCAAATTAAACTTAAAAGTGTGTCATGTGTATTTTTTGGGGGGGCGAGTTGTTAAACATTTACTAGCACATCCCTGAATTCTCCCTTCCTTTCATCTCAGCTCAACATCAGAGAAAGAGGAGAGAAATCCTATACCAAATTATAACACTACCCCCCCCCCCCCCAATCAAAGCAAATCAGTCCTTACATCCTCAGATTCAAAGACATGACAGATCATTTTGTATTGCCTCTTCCCATCCTGGGATGGATGACAGGCTTCCACGTTATCTTGGGAATTGGAACGAGGCATTCGCCTGCGGGCCATCAGCACGACAATATTCCCAATGTCTGCAATGTAGGAAATGGTCCTCAGAGGGTGATCCATCATTGTTTCCTAGTTTGTGGGGAAAGAAGAGAAATGCTATGGTCAGGGACTAGAACATGTTAGGGTACAAGTGATATCTAACCAAACCTATGTCAAGTTTGTGCTTTTCCCTCACCTTATTGAAGAGATTTTGTGAATAATAGCTTTAAAATAACACTCGGTACAGGGAGAGCTGTGTTGAACATGAAGACCTAGTTTCCAGATTTATGTACACCCTATCCTTACCTTCTCAATACTCCCTCAGCTACTCCCCAAGAGTGGGGAACCAATTTATGGCAGGTGAAAAGAAAAATGAATTTAATTCATTTTTATAATCAGTGTAATATTTGTGGGAGCTGCTGTAAAACATCTGTGAGGGACTGCTATGCTTTAAAATAACAAAAAACTTCATACCAGGCTGACCTGGCTGAATTTATGGATCTGAATTTAGATATTTTAAGTTGAGAGGTGCTTAAACTTTTCTGTATCATGAACCTCCCTTTTATCAGCTATATATTGTTCTTCTCAGAATAATGTTCTTAAATGCATAAAATATACAAAAGATTACAAAGAAAACCAATTATATTGAAATATAGTAATCAAAATTTTTAAAAAGTTACTTTAAGCTTTCAAATAAATATTTGACATATTTTCTATGTTTTTTATACTTCTTTTAGCTCTTAAAAAAACCCCACACAATTTCTCAGTATGATAGTACAAAAAGAAAATAATTTAACTCCAGTAGAATAGAGGGTTTCCATCTAGGATGCTGGCAAGAAACCCATGCCAACAGTGGGCTAAGTTTTGTAAGTTTCTATCCTGCAAGGTCTCAACTCCAGGAAAGGCTGTCACCTATCTATACCTGTGTATCTGCATTCAAGACTTTTATTCTCTGGGTAGAGATGAAGAGATCCACTTCTGTCATGGGCTGAGATTCTCCTTCGGGAGCCTGAAAGAAGCACCACGAGGCATATTAACTCCCCCTTTGTAACCATGCATCTTTAAGAAATAGGTTAGGTCACAAACAGGGGAACCAAGACACAGTCACCAGAACAGCAATGCGGAAAATATATTAGAGCTTGCAAAAGCTGAAGGGGAGACAAAGGTATGGAAGCTGGGGCTGTAGGCATGAAAGTGAGTTAGAATCATTGTATTACATGGTTTTGTTTTTAAAGTTAATTCCCTTTCTCCTTCCCCCAATGGAACAGTGTGACCCACTGTAGCAAGAATGAGCTGTATAAGCATTCTATAGAGAAAAGAAATGATTCCAATCATCATTTGAATGAGAAGGGCACTTTCAGCCAGGGTATCTTGATACCAACAGTCCAGGGGGACTTAGGGTTGGTCCCAGGCCTGGGCTGCTGGGAAAAATGTTGACAGGAGGTGCAAATCAAGATGTTTCAATGCAGTTCTGGTAAGAAGGTCTTCAGGATTAAACAATGGCAACAAAAATCATTCTAGCGACAATCTACTCCAGAAGTTATACAATTTATAAAGATACAGACCAAAATGCCTGTGCTGTTGAGATTAAGTAAATAGTTCATAGGCACCTAGAAGCTTCATACACAGAACTCCTCAGTTAGGATTATTTCTGGTTTAATTGTGAATGTTGTGTCTATGTGTAGGCATCTATAGGTACTGCCATTTTTTTTTTGCATCCAGCAATTTGACATATCCACAAATTGAATGCAACTCTCATATGCTGAAATGTGAAGGGAAACTTTTTTCTTTTTAGTTAAGCTGTTGAATAGAATCAAGTCCCTTTCATATCAATCCTGTTTAATGGGTAGAAAACACGGGGGCTACTACTGCCTGACCCAACGAGTATTTCCAATCTTTGCCCTGTCATTCATTCTTGGCTCTAACATGAAATGGCAAATGACAAGCAACTGAAAATGGCCAGTTTAACGGCAGTTGATTTTTTTTTGTAGAAATGCTGGTTTTACATGGAGACTCAAAAGTAAATCTGAATGGAAACTTGCTGGATGCAGAAAATAAAAACAAAAATTTAAAAAAAAAACACAAAAGAGGAGGAAAAGCGAAAAGTAAATAAATGAAAAGGACAGGCATAACACCAAGCTGATGAGTTTGTAGTACTGCACCTTCTTCCTGCTTTTGGCTAATTTCTGGGCCATCTGCTTAGCATGGAATAAACAGAGACAGGAGAATGGTTAGAGAAGGATTTGCAGAGTCTCAAAGTCAAAGAAGGGGATTTACAAACTGACACCAAGGGCTTGGCCTACCATCCTGTCTACTTGGATTTGGGGGAGAGAAGGATGACCTTGAAATGTTTCACTTTGAAGAGAATTGGTTTTCTAAGATTTTTTTCTTCCTTACAAGAAAAAAACGTTACTAAGGGCTCTCCCTGATATTTTATAACTGTGTATACCAGTCCTGCACAAATGATTATCAAATTAATGAAAAATCCAAAGATGCTGCTGCCTCAAAGTGATAGGACTGCCATCTTAGTTTGGTACTCACCTGGTAGGAGAGCTCATTTTAGTTCCAGCAGGAAATCTCTGCTTCATTAATTAATTAATGATTTGCTGGGCTGCCTTATTGTGGAGAAACAGGATGAGTCAGGCATCAAATACCACTTCCTAGGCACTGGAAGGCCTGAAAAACTAGCAGACCCCATATCTTGTACTCACTAAACAGTTTTCATGGATGCTTTTAAGTTCATGATGAATGTTTTGCTCTGAAAAAGTCTGAAGGCAGCAGCTGCAAGGTTACCCCCTAAATGCTATTTAATTATGGTATAATCATTTTAGCATCTAATGAGTAATTTCCTCAGGTTATGCACCACATTACAACTTGGTGACCCTAAGATAATTGCCAGGGAAAGGCTTACCCTGTGTATTCTGAGATTCTGACATTAAATGACTGTTCCTGGAATTTCGGAGGGAGCTTTCATCTTTTTAACCCTGCAACAGCTGTGATAATCCAGGACTGATCATTCAGTGTCCTACCCAACAAATCACCAATATCCTTTGACATAAAAACCTGTTCGATGCCCTGAAGAAGCAGATGCTGGAAAGGTCCCATGAAGTAAGATATGCCAATCACAGCAGGAATGTCCAAAAAAAAGTGGGGGTGGGGTTCCCCTCAGAACAGATCAGAAAGGAAAAGGATCCAATGTACAAATGACTTGAGCAGCAAAAGGTAGTTTCGAGTAATTTGTATTAAGTTTATTTCATTTTATGCAGTTGGAATAATACCAGATCAGGTCTGAAATCCTAGTGATTCGGAACAAAACTACATTTATGATTTGGATAGAATGTTGCAAAAGATAAGTTGGCCTGAAGCCTGAATTATAAACTGGACTAAAGGAAAGTGGTCCATAGAAAGCGCAATGAGAACATGCATTATAAAGCAAGAAAAAGCAGCATCCATTTAAATCCTTATGTTTTATGTGATTAATTAGGGCTTATTACCCAGCTGGCTCTTGAGTCACCTAAGTAAAATGGAAAATTACATATTTAACCATAGCCACACTGCCAGCTTCCATTCTGCAAATAAACTGCAACTCTAGGGGGGAAACGCTTTTTGTTTTAAACATAAGCCACCTGCTTAAGAATGGAAAATGTCAGACTTTTGAATAAATGATGAAAGGCAGGTATATCAAAAGTATTTGAGTGACTAACTATGCATCTGTGAAGAGGATGTATTCTAAAATGTGTAAACCAAAGAAAACCAAGATACAATCCATAGTCATGGACCAGGGCATACTAATTTATGCTTCCCAACATTAGGAAGAATGGATAAATATCCACTGAGTTGAAAAATGGCACACAGTGTGGAGAAGCTTAGATGGGATCAAGGGGAAACACGGCCACTCCTCATTACTTCACAGTCCACAACGCTGTTGGTCCCCACCTCCCCAACCAAGGGAAAAAGGCCAAGGGATTCCTCCTGGAAGCATCTGGGGGATTCTCAAAGAAAATAATCACTGCTCAAACCAAGCCAAAAGGAATACCCAATGGCAAAAAAGGCCAACAACATCCAGAAATCCTGACCCTGGAGGGTGGCTAGAGCTTTTTTTCATTCCCATGCAGCTAAGATATTACTCATTCATCAAGGGCTATATTGGGGGAAGAACTGAGCTTCATAGACTGATTCCTTCTTTTTCTTTTCCACTGATTAGGCCAAATGATGTCGGGGCAAGTCCACTGGACTTTGAGTCAGGAGACCTTGAAATCAGGTTCTACCTCCTGCAACCATAACCAAGCTGTGTGACTTTGGGCAAGTCATTTAAACTGTGTCAGTCTCAGTTTCCTCATCTAGAAAGTGAAGGAAATATTTACTCTACCTACTTGTAAGACAAGGACTTTGCAAACCTTAAAGTGCTATATTAAAGTAAGCTGTCAGTAGAAATAATACTATATGGTAGTATTTCATTTCATTGGAATAGGGTGAGGAAACTCTTTGCCAATCTAGGTCAGAACCTAAAAGACAGCTAAGTAGTACAGTGCATACAGTGCTAGACCTTGAGTCATAAAGTCATGAGTTCATCTATCTTCAAAACTTCCTAGCTATGTGATCCTGGGCAAGTCACTTAACCTCTGTCTGTCTCAATTTCCTCTATTGTAAAATGAGAATAGTAACAACACTTGCCTCCCTTACCTTGCTATTGTGAGGATTAAATGAGATAATATTTGTAAAACACTTAGCATGGTGCCTAGTACATAATAGGCACTTAATAAATGCTTTGTTTCCTTCCTCCTCTGCAACTTATATTCTTAAAGTTGCCTGAAGCATTGAGTGACTTGCTCAGTAGGAGAGGCTGGCCCTCTCTCCACTATACCATATTACCTCTCAGTATTATTAGCAATAATGATACTATAGATTATTAATAGTCATCAGACTTCTATTTACTAATGAATTTGTAAGAAATAATTTTTTCAGTAACAATAACATAAATACACAAACTGTATTTATGACTCCACTAGGGAGTTGCTAATTTAGTATGGTTAGTGCTACATGAGTGTAGGATGAAAGTCTGTTTCAAGGTCAAAAATCTCCAATGCGATATAGTGTGTGTTTGGTCTAGCTAATGGACCATGGATATCCAGGTCACAGCATGAAGCATGGCAAAGCAGCTCCTGAATCACACAAAGTTTAACCGGGTAATTGGAATTAGCTGCAGGATAAATAGCATCCTGCAATTGGTGGCAACAGGGAGTGGTGTGTTGGTCAGACAAAGAAGGTAAAGTGTCCTGAGGTTTGTTTTTTGTTTTTCAGAGATTGTTATCATCAGCTCAGCTGATGAATGGATTAAAAAAAAAAGTCCATACTGCCCTTCTCACCTTACATTTTACTTAAGTGTTACCCTTTAAGACCTCAGACACAAATGCTCAAATGCTTCTCCTTGATGCGTCTAGTCAAGCAGTGCAAATGGCACTTAACCACTCATTACTGAAATGTCAGGGGAGTATTGAGAAGCATGACACCTTCCTTCGAGGTTGGTGCTTTTGAGGTGTATCTATGTATGTCAAGGCAGGTGTTCCTCTGGATACATAGCAATACAACCCAACTTAGGTTTCCAAATATCTCAAGACCCAAATGTATGTGTTTCCATGTGCTGACATTCTCTCTGATTCCAAAAATCTACCAGTGGATGCTCAATTATAAAGCATGAATTTTTGGATAAATTAGTTCTTCAAGTCTGAAAAACTGGAGGCTGGGTGTAAGCTCTTTCATTTAAAAAAAAAAAAGAATTTAAATGGATGTAAAAGGAATGAGGTAGAAAATATTTAATGGAAGGCAATGCTTTTATATAAACACTCTCTAAAATGATATTTCTAAGTCATTAATGAAATAAATTTACCATTCTATAACAAATTAATTAGCTACAGAAAATTGCTCTAAGCAAACACAACCAGATCCTAATAAGTGTGAATCCTCTGAAGTGGTCGTATTATTCAAATTCACACAGGATATTTCCATTAGGGTGGAATTAATGACCATATTTTATATAATTATTGCTTTGAATAGTGTGGATTGGAATGCGGTAACCACTTGTTGGATGGGGTTCATGTTTTGTACAAATCAAGACCTAGCTGTATTCCCTCCCACCCTTTCCTCTCTGAATCTGAATCCTAGATAGAAGGAAAATATCTTTATAACCAGATGTTCTTCAATGTTGTGTTTCTGGCTGAGAGGGCTTTCTACTTTGTGTTCATATGGCCCATGAAACTTTGGGATGTCAACCCTGTGAAAATGCAAAGTAAATTTTCCGATCATGTGTTTAGTAGCTGAATGTATGTAAAGGAAAAAAAAGAAAAAAGAATAACATCCTACTGAAGACCACTGAGGAAACAGGATTAAAAAAAGAACATATATTGAGCTGGAGATCTATCTTCTGATACCACCACAGTGCAATATTTGAAAGATTCAAGTTGGATTTAACACGTTTTCCTAGATAAAAGTCAGAAAGTGTTTATTTCGAACACTTACACATTTGGGATAGCTGAAGACTACAGGAATGTTCTAACCTAAGGGCAGTAGTAAGTGATACCTTCTGGATCTCAGTGCAGTGGAAAGAGGGCTGGATTGGAAGTTGGAGGATCTGAGTTTCAATCTCAGCTCTGCTACTTAGTACCTGTGTGACTTTGGACAAGTCACTTGAGCCAGCTAAGTGGCAAAGTGGTCAGAGCACTAGGTCTGAAGTCAGGAAGACCTAAGTTCAAATCCAGCTTCAGACACTTAAAAGCTGTGTAACCCTAGGCAAGTCACTTAACTTCTGTATGCCTCAGTTTCCTTAACTATAAAATGGAGATAATAACAGTACCTACCTTGCAGGGCTATTGTGAAGATCAAATGAGACAATATTTGTAAAGTGCCTGGCACACACTAGGTGCTAAATAAATGCTTATTCCTCTGCCCTCCCCTTACCCCTATCTTTGATGCTCAGGATCTCATTTTCTACATAAAATGAGGGCTATGGAGTACCATGAGCCCTGGAAAGAGAGCTAACAATGCTAATCATCATGGGTAATCAGACCTGAAAGATACCAGCTATCCTTTTTCAAAATGAACAATCGCTTATTAAGTCCTTTGATATTCATAGTCATCTTCCTTACTTAACAGCTCTCTGACCTGTTAATGGTCCCATCCAGGGAATTTCCTTTCCTTCCACTAAGACTAAGCCAGGAGAACATTCTATCCCTTCTTCCTCTGGAATCATTTGGCCCTTATCACATAATACCTCACATAATTTCTAGTTACCTTTAATTTGTGTTTCTTGTCTCCTCTTCTAGAACATAAGTTCTGTGGGAACAGGAACCTATTATGATTTCTTGGTAGGGTACCCTGCACATTAAATATTCTAGGGACATTTGTTCAATGATGGATTCAGCACTGTCTCTAACTCCTAGGCTACTGCCTTCTGTCTCTCCATCTTTCTCCTTCCAGAGTTATCACACAAGCACCATGGTGTTCCTGATGAATGTGTTCGAGAAAGAGAAAGGTAAAGAGTAGGAGGTGGGTAGCCAAGTTTCTTGAGTGGCCTAAGCATGCACCTCCAGGAAGAGATAGCTTCAATTTACCTATTCTTCTTTGAAGGATTTAGGGCTAATGCTTTATTAAAATAAGAGCCTAAACTCTTAGTGGTTACAAAAGTAGAAATAAATGACTGTTCCTCTCAGAGATGCCTTCCTTAATGAATTGGGTTTTCAGTGCTCCAAGTTAAATGTTTGGGGCTATCTATGAGTTATTTCTTAAGGCTTAAATGAAAACAAAATCCATGATAACTAAATATGAGGAATCAAATCTACTTTGTGTAAATCACCTTGTTACTTAGTACCTGAGTTGGACACCATTCTGTATAACCAGAATGCATAAGAAATCAATGAAAATTAAGTCTTCAAGCACTGGTTATAATATTCTCTCAACCTACTTCTCTTCCAGATTCCTCCAGATTCAGTACTGAGGACATGATCTGAGGGACTGTAGGGTCATAACTGGGTCAGACCCTTGATTTTCACTAGAAGAGGCACTTATGTTATTGAAATACAAACTTCCCAAGGAAGAGATGAGCTTCCATGTTCGGCCACTCTGGTAGTTTTAAATCCCCTCTACAAACAACACCCCACAGCCCCTTACCTTGATTCGGCTTACTGCTTCCTGTGCCTGCATCATTCGAACATTCTTGGAGGGGGTTTTGTCAGAAAGCAGCTGAGTGGAGCCAAGGTAATTGGCTGCAAAAATGATGCCATCGATCAAGTCTTCAGGATCACAAGGTCCTGGAACTATAATACAGAAAACCACAGCTGTGAGCAAAGACACATTCTGCAGGAGACCAGCAGAACACAGACCGCTCAACTCTACATTCCTTTTCACTATCACTGACACATTCAGACAAGTTAATAGCACATCTAGGCTTCTCACTCAGCCTGTCTATCCAACTGTGTATTCTGACAAATTTGTGAAAAGGTAATTTATTTTTTTTCTTTGTCCTCACTAATGGGTTATTTTCAAACAGAAGTGAAGACATTTTTTCCCCTTTATAGCAATTTCCCTTCTCCCTTACAATTTATGTAGAGAAATGATATGAAAATTATTTAGATGAGATATAAAGCATGGTGATCATGCTTGCTGAGTGAATGCAAAACATCATTCCTTATTCTGTACCACATCCTTGCACAACTGTCTTTATAGTTTGGGAGACCAGTTATCCCCAAGAGGGGCACCTTAATTCCAAAGGTTACAGTACCTTCTCAATGGCACTTTCCCCTGCTTCTATAGGTTAATTTTACCCTGCCCACCATGATAGTTCTACAAACCAACATTCCCAGTAGGGAGCCATACAGACTAACTCTAGACTAATTTCTGATCTATAACGTACTTAGTAAGCCACTGGCATTCCATTTTTTACAGGGGTATAGGCTCTTAAAAAGAAGACTGCTGATTCTACTAACCATGATTTACAGTGAAGCCCCATTTTAAACTAAATTTTATTTGGCAGAATTCCCTTTTAGTATATCCCTTTTAGATTAAAAAAAATTAAGTGTCTTCTCTCCCTAAGGTATTTATATCTTGTCCCATATAAATCACAGAATAGTAGAGCTAGAAGGAACCTAGAAGAGTACAATCTCTGCATTTTAAAGATGAGGAAACCAAGGCCCAAGTAACTTGCCTATGGTCACACGGCTAATTAGTGGCAAAGCCATAAATACAACCCAAGGAGTCCTCCTTTCCTGACTATTATGAAAATTCAGTCCTGCTGCACTAATTAATCATATAATCACAGACTCCGTAAAGGTAAAAGGGATGTTAACAGTTACCTAGTCCTCTCTGCAGCACAAATCCCTCTCTTTAACATCTTTGATGACTCCCTCATTTTACAGGTGCAGAAGAGGGTAAGACAAGCCTCTTGGCTTGCTTCCTACTTCATTGCAAGACTCAGCTCAAATCCTATCTTCTGGAGGAGGCCTTTCCCCATGTATCCTCCTCCCCAAGCAGGTGCCCTCCCTCTGAAATGGCCTTCCATTTATAGAGTACATATTTCATATGTATAATTATTTACATATGTCTCCCTCATTAGAATATGAGCACTTTGAGAGCAAGGACTGTGTTTTTAATCTTACTTTGCATTCCCAGTGCTTAGCACAGTGGCTGACACACAGTAAGCACTTAATAAATGCTTACTGACTGACCTGCCCAGGGTCACAGAGATAAGTATCTGAGGAAGGATGTGAACCCAGTCCTTCCTTGCCATATTTGCCTCCTTGTAACTCCTGCAGACCAGTCTTAGTTGTGCTTGTGGGAGGGCTACGGGGAGAACTTTTCAAATCCTTGAATTCTACTTCCTTGTGACAACCTTTCAAATAATTAAAGACAAGGAATATTATTGGAAAAGATAGTCTCTTCTCCAGGACAAACATCCCTAGTTTCTCCAACTGAATTTCAAATTAGCATCAAAGCAACCGGACTTTGTCTTGCCTACAATAGCAAATGGCACATAGTAGGTGCTTAATAAAAGTTTGTTGATTTAAGTTGGATGCTACTCATGGTCCATCTGCTAAATCCTTGATTGTTTGAAGTTGCTCATTTCTCCTCTTCCAGAGTAATTCTCCTACAGATTTAATTTTTACCTGTAAATGTCAAACTCATCATGAGCTCAAACAGCTGTTCCCCATAATGAGCTGCTTACCAAGGCATGGAGAGAAAACAATCCATTCATTTTTCTCATACTAAAGTACAGTAGTTGCAACAGAGAGTCAAACAGTCTCCCAAGAAATCTTTAACAAAGCACTAACTACTAATTAAATAAGGGAATGTGTTATATGGCTTATTTGGTGTTTTTAATAAGAATGATTTCTGCAGCCAACACTGTAAAAAATGTATATCCCTCTCTTCAATCACACAAAATCCATACTTAGTGCTCCACGATGAGTTATTGGGGGCGGCAAACATGTTTGTCTCTCTTTTAGCCTTTATGGATATGACAAGGATGCAAAGTATTATCCACAGTACACAAGCTAAAGGCTTAACCATACACCAGGGAAGTATATACCTATCTATAATATAAATAGACATTTCTGAAGCTATGTAATATTGAAGTACAGAGGCTATAGCTATCCTTTTGATGAAATTATTCTGCCGCTCATATATAGGTATTTATGACAACATGAAGCTCACAGAGAAAAAAAGGCTATAAAGAATGCGAAAAGTCATAAGCACAAAAAGAAAACAAAAATAAACTCTTCCCAATAAGGCCTAATTGCCCATGCATATTACATGGCCATCCACAACTCAGAACTAACTATCCTTTGAAAATGTTTCCTTTCCCTTCTGAAACAGTAAGTGTGGGTGTGTATATGCACTTGAAAGCAATTCAAATAATACTGAAATGACTGGATAAATACCAAGCATCTGGGGGACCAAAATATTGGTCTTAAATAAATAATAGGTTAGATATATGCCTTTACTTCATTTAACCTTCAATGAAATTGTATGCAATCAATTCCACTGTAATGCATTCTGACAGAAAGCCCCTGATTCACCTCAGAGTTTAATATTTACTCTAACTATACAAATTAAAAAGCAAATTAGATATTGGAACAATCATTTTTTTTAAAGGTCAGATTTAGATTTGACATGTTCTAGAAATTTCTGTTAGCAATTTTACCTCTGTGCAATTCACTGTACTTAGTTTGATGTGGAGGTGGACAAATACACACACACACACACCACAGAACAAATATACAATCATGTTACTGTTGCTACTTGACAACCTCGAGACCTGTTGTTGATATGAATTCAAAGTTTTAAAAGCACTTAAAAATGCTTATTGATTAAAATGTCTCATTAGAAAAAAACTAAGATACTAGCATGAGATTTTATTAGTTCAGACAAGATTTCTAATAATTACAGGTTACACTTTTTTTTTCTTGTTTTGTTCCTGTTTATTTTAAACTAGAATGCAGGAAATTAACTTAAAAACAAACCCAACTACCCAGGGTGTAGCTACTGTTACGACTCTTGAGTTTCTATGGTGCAGATGAACAACTTCAATTTTTCCTAGGTTTATACTTATGGAATTATAAAGTTGGAAAAGACCTCAAAAAGGATATCTGGTCCTTTACACCACATTTGAGCTTCCTCAGGAAAACTGGAGCATATTTTATCTTTATAATAGACTGGTCTCTCTACATAGCTCATTTGAGTTTTAAATGACCAGCCCAGACATACCATTTCCATTGGTTACATTCTGGGTGGAGATGTTTTAAAACCGATGTTCACTGGAATGGGAATCAGGAGATGTGAGTTCTAGTCACAATTTTCTCATTAACTAGTTGTGTGGCCTTAGGTATGGTCACTTCACTCTATGCCTCAGTTTCCTCAAATACAAAATGAAAAGGCTAGTCAACTCTACATAAACCAAGATAAGGTTCTTGCTTTAAAATGCTGATTTTGTCATTCTAAATTGTTGGAGACTGCTAATGTGTCACCTTGTGACCTTCCTTCCTCCCAGATGATATATCCTTTTAAAGTACAGCATTACATAGAGCTGAATTCTAAAAGATTTATAAATCACTCAGCGCTTGATTTATTTTTTTCTTACATCTTACCTTCAACGTACGTTGGGAATGAAGCCAAGCTTTTCCTTGACTGTAATTAAGACAAAGAGGGTTTCAAACAGGGGAAAGCATGCTCATATATGCATTAATAACCCATCTATGCAACATGAAAAATAAATACATCATCAAATAGCAGTTATTAACAGGGGGGAGGTAACCATTATTGGTTAGAGAAAGTTGAAATGCATATAAATATATGTATTTATCATTAGAGGTTATCATTCAGTGCTGTCTAAGTCATTAGGATTTTATACAGCCAGGAAGTCTTAGAATCCATGTTCAGCAACCTTTGGAAGGTTTTCAGTATCTATGTTCTGTAGGTTGATAAAAAAATTTTCATTTTCTGAATGTCAGGAGTAGCTCCAATAGCTAGATTTGGCCAATAGCAAAAGCACAAGGTAACTTATATTCTAAAAAAATTAGAATTTCCATTAATAAACAGCTGAATGTTAGCATGACCACAACTGTAGAAATTAAGAATTTCCACAGGAAAGCAGTTGTTTAAAAACCAAATTAACCTCCCCACTGCCAAAGATGTTTTCTGGGGTTTTTTATTCTCTTTCTTGTTCATTTATTAATTTACTTTATTTGGAAGTCATCCTTTCTTCAAATCACTCCAGCCTACTACCTTAAAATGAAATACAACAAAGGAGTGAAGAATGAACCCTTGAATTTTCCTACACCAGGCACCCAGATGACGACTCTACTTAGGGGGTTCACAGGACAATGGGCAGAACGACTTGGAAAACCATAAAAACTTCCAGATCATATTTGATCTGCAGCAATACTTACCTTTCAGTTCTTAAAAAAAAAAAAAGGAAACAACTATCTTAAGGATAAACCTGAATGTTGGAGAAATAGAGAATTTGTCCTTAGGAATAGGATCTAGTCCTGTGATTTCATTAGTACTGAGAACTGCCAAGTGAGGGAACTCCCTCTCCTAATACAGGTTGGGACTAGCATCTTCTCTGGGACCTTTGGTTTTAGAGAGTTGTCTAGAGCAGAGTGGTTAAGTGACTTGCACATGGTACATACCTGAAAAAAAGTCTGTTGAGATGAATGGAATTGTGAAAGTGGTATCTTTAGATTATAAATTCCTTAAGGGCAGGGATTATCTTTTGCCTCTTTGCATACCCCCAGGGCTTAGTGTAGTGGCTGGCAGCCAGTAAGTGCTTAATAAATGTTTACTGATTAATTAAACCTTTAACCTATCTATGCTAGGACTGTACCAGATCCTTAATGTTCATTGTAAGGTATTCTTCTTGTAAGAGACAGAGCAGAATTCAGTGCTCTGAATAAATGTCAAGGCCTGAATCTCTGGTCTGGGTCTAAACACTTTCTTGATGCAGGAGGGGAGATGGGGAGGAGAGGGTGAGGATGCCAAGGGTACTCATTCATTTTCTTGGTAGAATCTCCTCACCTGGAACGTGGGAAAAGCAGTATTTACCTCACAAGGGCAAAAGAGAGGATTAATTAGCTAACATCTGCATTGCACTTTAGAAATGAAAATGTTAAATGTTATCTAAACTACTCAGGACCAAGTTAATGACATGTAATCTAACATAATTTAGAAGAGTAAAAGACCTTCACGTTAATCTTGAAATATGTAACATCTGGCAACTCATTAGAGGGAACTTTTCATGAGTGTGTTCATTGTAATGAAATGGCTCATTATACCAAATGTGGAGTCTGGATATTCCTAAAATGCCTTTCTTGTTTGAAGAAGGGTAAACTGTGTTTCAACCTAAGGGATAAGCCCAGAGGATGAGAAACTTGGAGCAATGGCTATTGGCCGCCAATGCATCTATAGGAAGAAATGCATTAAAGGGAAACCAAAAATGGAGGGCTATAGAAAAGAGGGCCATCAAACGTCTAGAAGTCTGTTCCACTGGTCTGACTTTCACTTAGTCAACAGAGAATAGAAGGAGTACAACAAATACGTTATTTGACTTTGTTGAGAGTAGGGCAACAGAGCCAGCACAATTCTGATTGACTTGACAGTCAGTTAAATAGCTCCAAAGAAAAGGCAGTCCTTTTTGGCAAGGCTAGAGACTTTTAAATGCAATTTGTGCCCTTGAGCTAGGTGGCTATCTGACTGAGATGTCCATTTTGCTCAGTCAGAGTAGCTCAGCCTCTAGCTACATCCAATTACCCAACCCAGCTCTGTTTGGATATTAACTGGGTAAATGAATACTTTATTGAATGCTAAACTCAAGGAGCCCCTGGTTAAGACCTGAATACAAAAAGAAAAATTCTACAGCTAAACAAACAAACAAACAAAAGGAAAATCCTACCATTTTAGAAACTCAGGATGTTCACTGCCTTTCCCCTCGTTCTTTCTATCTACAAGTTCATGACTAGGCCATGACTGGGGCAGCTAGGTAGTACAGTGGATAGAACAGGACAGACACTTACTAGCTGTGGGACCTTGGGCAAGCCATTTAACCTGCTTGCCTCAGTTTCCTCATCTGCAAAATGGGGATAATAGTCCCTACCTCCCAGGGTTGTTGTGAGGTTCAAATAAGATAATTGTAAAGCACTTAGCACAGTGCCTGGCACTTTGTGAGTGCTACCTAAGTTGTTAGCTATCATTATTATGATATCTTTATTTTCTGGACTCTGAAGCAGCATTTAAAAAAAAATTAATGAACAAATATCTACCTCCCCCACTAGAAATTAAAAAGAAAGAAAAAAGAAAAACAAAGAAATATGCACAGTCAAGCAATACAAATTTCTGCATTAGTTATGTCAAAAAAACCAGTCTCATTCTGTATCCTGAGTCTATCACATCTGTTAGGCAGTAGGTAGCATGCTTCATCTATGTATGTTTTTAAGGGGAAAATGATTTTCTTAAATCTACAGAATGTCTAATTACTACATGCATGGAAGGTTTTTTAGAATCATTTTTTAAAAGGCTATGCAGAAAAAAGTACCAATCCTTACAGAAACTGAAAAACTAACATTTGCTTGTAGTGATATGTCATCCCAAGTTGAACATTAAGATATCTGATTAGGTGGGCAGAAAGAGACTAATGGGGTCACCTAACCCTTAGTAGTCAAGATCAAATTTAATAAAAGTAATAAACTCCTAGATCAGAGAGAGCCAAAGGTTACAGAGCAGTATTCTTCCTAGGGATTTTCCTGAAGGCCACCTAAAGATGAATGGAGTTGCTAGGAGGCCTATAAGGGCATGCTCAATCTGCATATTTGCATCTAATCAACACTTACCACAAACACTTGCAGCCCTTTCAAGCAATTATCAAGTTTTGATTTTATTGCTACTGCCTGTGGGGCTGCCATTCCTGACTCTTCTCTCCATTTCTTTCTCACTTGGTCATGCATCATAAATTAAGTGTGAGGCAGAAAATGGGAAAATCGAGCAAGTAGGCTGGTGAGAGAGAGCCATCAGACCCAATCCCAGGCCATGTCATCCACTGGTATGTCATAATTTAGTAAGTCCTGCTGTACAGTGAGGCATTTTGCAAACCTATAAAGCACAATGGGATGTACTATATTTGAAATGTCTGCTAGTTTAATTCTGATTGATTTTAAAAAGCAACAACATTCTTCCTTGACTAGTGGTCAGTAGGAAGTGGATGATCTCCCTACAGATACTTGATTTTTATTTTTATTTCATTAATGTAGGGAGCTCCAGGTAAGAAATTCCCTGTACCTAGATAACTTTGTTCACATGAAACTGAAAAGCTTTGGCACAGACAAAATTAATGTACCTAGGATAAAAAGGGAAGCAGTTGAATGGGGAAAAAAATCTTTGCATTATATTTCTCTGATGAGGGCTTGGTGTCCAAGATATATTTGGGATTGACACAAATAAAATAACTAAAATGCCCATAATCTTTTGACCCAGATATGACACCACTGAGCTTATAGGCCAAGAAGGACAATAATAAGAATAGAGTTCCTACATACACTAAACTATTTATAGCAAGACTTTTAGTGACAGCAAAGAATTGCCAACAAAGTAGATGTCCATCAATTGGGGAATGGCTAAACAAATTGTGGTACATGAATATAATGAAATATTATTATTGTCTAAGAAATGATGAAATGTGATGAATCCAGAGATGATCTACATGAATGGATACAGAGTGAAGTGATCAGGGCTTAGAAAACAGTATACATGACTATAAGAATGTAAATAGAAAGAACTATAACATGCACAAACCCAAAAGTGAATGTTGCAAAATTATAAAGAACAAGCACATCTCAAAAGAAGGGAAATGAGAAGACATGCCCACCCAATCACTTTGCAAAAGTGAGAGGTTCACAAGTATTGCATATATTTTTAGTCTTTTTTTGATGTATTGATCAGTTGTGCTGAGTTTTTCCTCTTCTTTTTCTTTTTCTTAATCCTTAAAAATATTATTTGTTATATGGAATGGTTCTCTGGGAGGGAAGGGAGAGGACCAATGGGGGAAACCGGTGATACAAACAAACAAAAATAAATTAAAAAATTATTCAACCAAAAAAAAAAAAACAACCAGAGAAAATCCCTATGCCAATGAAGATTCTCAAAGTGCTCTGCAGTTTACAATCCCAGAGAGCTGGGCAGACAGGTAGGTGTCACAGTGGATGGAGCAGCTGGCCAGTCGTTAGGAAGACTCAGCTCCCTGAGTTCAAATCTTGCCTTAGCTGATGACTAGCTAGCTATGTGACCTTGGGCAAGCCACTTAACCAACCCTGTTTGCCTCAGTATCCTCATGTGTAAAATGAGCTGGAGAAGGAAATGACAAACCACTTCAGAATCTTTGTCAAGAAAACTCCAAGTGGGGTCACAAAGGGGAGGACACGACTGAAATGACTGAACAACAACATGAGAGGCTGTGACTTTCCCCAGTGTTAAAGACAGGACTTGAACCCAGATCTCTATTCACTAGGCTATGCTGCCCCTCATGAGTAACAGATTTGTTAGTGATGGTAAATAACAGTTATCCCTTCCATCTTGTTTTTAGTAAAAGGAAAAAAAAATGACACAATCATTCATTTTGTATTTTAAATTTTTAAACAAATATTCTCTTTGTTAATTAGACAACTGCAGTAAACTGCAATATTTAGAGGCAACTGAGCTCCCACACAGATGATATCAGAGCTCAGTATCAGGTTATTAATAGGCAAGTGGCAATTAGTGCTAGCATTTATTTGTTAAGAGTATAAAAGAGGTTGAAGAGAAGACTAAAGTTTTCCTTCAGTGAAAGGTATTTTGTTTCAGCATTAGAGGAAGGTCACATACCAATGAGATCACAGGCCTATCCACAGAAGTCTTGGAAAAACAGTGGATGCTGAACCTGCATTGGTCAGAGGGTCCCCTCTTCTAGGAGCTCCTTAAACCAATGAAATCACAAGTCAAGTGCCTAGCTCCAATTCTTCTAGAATGGGCTAATTCTAGAGCCCTCTTAAGGGGAAGTAAAACCTAAGTTAACAATCAAGTAGAGAATTCCCTGGGGAGGAAACATTCTTCACCAAACTTGTTCTTAGCATCCTAAAGAGTAGCCTGTAAGCAAGTGTTTATTTAAGCGACTTGCCTAAGGTCCCACATGCTAAAGTAGAGGCAAGATGTCTTCTTGATTCCAACTTTGGCCCACTATCCGTTATGACATACTATCATTCTTTAGCCCCTAGACCCTTTAAAAAAGCTGTGTCAGCACTCATTTTCATGGATCATCATCATCATCATCATCATCATCATCATCATCATCAGGTTTCCCTTAAAATGGAAGTAAATACATAATGGGGAAGAATCTGCTGCGGAGCACAATTTATTTATATCAGAAGGCAAGACTATATTATCAGAAAGGCAAGAGGGTTGGGTTTTTTGCTCTTGTTTTTAGATCTATCCCTCCACCCCAGACAACACCCTAGATTAGACTTTAACTTTGGAAAAGCTACCTATAAACTTCAGTGAAGGAGGTTTCCTCTCTGGGGAGTTCACAGCACCAATGAAATCAACAAGAACAGAACAACAAAAATAGGCATACATTAGAGAACACATTTAAAAGCTAAAAAAAATTTTCCCACTGTGAATTGGTTTTGTAATCTTTAAGAGAGGAAGGGGGGAAAGGGCAAAAGAATCATGAAAATGAACTGGGATAGGAAGAGAGGGACCCATGATATTGACAATGGCTCCACTCTACCTCTTTGTTACTGGAGGATTCTGCCAGGTCATCTTGATGATGCTGTCTGCTGGACGATTCAGCACCCCGGGGAGAGGAAGAATCAGGAGATGGAGACTAGACATGGTAAGGAAACAAAATCAGGAAAACCTGAGTGACTCAGTGAACCTCTTGGTTTGGGGGAGGAGTAGAGAGCTCTAAGAGAGGCAGAACATAACTGTGCAAACTTAAAAAAATTTTTTTTATACTGATCATTTATTTCTCTGTGTAGCATGGCTAATGTAGATAGAGCTGGCCTTGGAGTCAGGAAGAATGAGATTCAAATCTAGTTGGTGAAAGCCCTGCCTCCAACACATACAACTTTTGCCTGTGATTAGATACAAGTCACCCAAGTCCCCAGGCAACTCCTTAATACTACATTACTCCAAAGGGCTCATGATGAAAAGTGCTATCCACCTCCAGATAGAGAACTGATGATCTCTAAGTACAAATTGAAGCCTCATTCTTTTTCATTCTTTCTCTCTTTCTTTCTCCTATCCCTCTGCCTCTTTCTTTCTTTCGCTCTTGGCTTTTGTTACTGTTCTTGGAACATGGCTAATGTAGAAATGTGTTTTTGTATGACTTCATTCTTGTAATGGGTTTTGTATTTTTCAACCTCTCAATGGGTGGGGAAGGAATAGAGGGAGGGAGAGAATTTAGAACTGAAAATAAAATTGAATTTTAAAAAACCCTATACTATAATATTGCAGATCTTTACTAGTAGAGCGCCTTTTTTATTTGGTACTGCCTGCAAAGATGAAATCACAGGTCCTGGCCAACCAAGCCAAACTAAAAACAAAACAAAACAAAACAGCAAAACAAACACCTCTCCCAGAAATTAATGTAAGAGGTGATTGCACATATATTACCTATACTAGACTGTTTACTGTCTGTGGAGGAAAGGAGGAGGGAAGCATAGAACTGGAACAAAACTTCAAAAAACCTGAATGTTAAAATTGTTTTTATATGTTCTTGGGGGGGGAAATGAAATGTTATTTTTTTAAAAAATAATGCAAGAGGCCTAATATTTTTCAGCTTTTGTTTCATTATTTGTCATTTTTTCCTGAGAAACTCTTAGGCCTTCTGGTTTGTCAGAAATTACTATAAAACACGAAATATTTTGAAGTTCAAATTAAAATCAGAGAAAATAAAGCTGAGTGGCACAAAAATATACTACTTTATTTGCCTATTGGTTAGGCAATAACTTAGATTCTCAATGACCCAAAAATCCCCCACTCTGATCTTAACCCAAAGGAGTAATTACAAAGAAAAACAGGTACTTAGAGAGACATCAGTGAAAGTATTTTGCCTGAAAAAGGGAATTTCCACAAGGCAACTGAGCTGAAGGGGAGACTCATTAAAGGAAACCGTAAAGTAAGATCTCTTTAACAGGTTGCCCCTCTGGAAAGAAGAGGGGACAACATGGACAGGAAAGAGATGTGACAAACATACAAATCACTCTGCTTAACAAGCAGTGCAGCCTTAGTTCTTTGTCATGGGACCTGGATTTGTCCTCCTTATGTGCTATACATGATTTTAGACATGGAGGTGATGATATGGTCAAGTTCTTAAATATTTACACATAGGAAAGAGATTGACGGCAGTAACACTACAGCTCGGATGGAGAGATGACAGGCTTATGACAGGCCAGGGCAAACAGAACAATCTACTGGTTTGAGGTATATTAATTTAGCTACAACCTTTGAAGAAATCAGGTAACGTATATACATGTATATGTATATATGTACAATGTAATGCATATTAGAAAAAAATATAGGACAGGTAGGTGGTACAGTGGATACAGCACTGGCCCTGGAATCAGGAAGACCTGAGTTCAAATCTGGCCTCACACATTTACTAGCTGTGTGATCCTGGGCAAGTCACTTAACCCTCTTTGCCTCAATTTCCTCATCTGTAAAATGAGCTGGAGAAGGAAACAGCAAATTATTCTAGTATCTGCCAAGAAAACACCAAATGGGGTCATGAAGAGTCAGACACAACTCAGTAACAACAACAAAGTGTATATTCTGTCATATTAATTTTAAGTTGATAGCATAATGTGTGTGTATGTGTGCACATGTGTTTAAAGTCCAGGATTATGATTTCATCAGTGGGAAGAATTCCCAGGATGGAAAATCTCTCCATGCCTCTACCCATAGGATTATAGATTAAGGATTTAGAGTTGGAAGGGACCATAGAGGTCATGTAGGAAAACTCTTTTATTTTACAGATGAGGAAACTGAGACAGAGAAAAGTAAAGTGACTTGTCAGAGATAAAGATAATAACTGTCTGAAGCATTATTTGAACTCAAATCTCCCTGTCTCCAAGTGCTGTACTCTAACTACTGTGTTGCCAAGCTGTATTCCCTTCAGAATACAGCAAAAGGTCTAAATTCTTCATCTAGTTCCTATTCATCATTTATGCCTTTGGGGGAAAAATAGTTGCATGGCTATAATTTACATAGTACTTCAAAGTTTGCAAAGAATTTTACAAACATTATCTCATTTTAATCCTCACAACAAGCCTAGAAGACAGGTGCTCCTATTATCCCCATTTTACAGATGAAGAAACTGAGGCAGAAAGGTTAAATGATTGCCCAGAGTTACACAGCCAAGTGTCTGAGGACTGATTTGAATTCAGGTCTTCTTAATTCCCAGTTTACCAACCATATCATTTGCAAATGACTGGTTCTAGATCACTTGGCAATGAGATAGGCTCCCATTTAACAACAAAGGACTGGGGTGGGGCAGGGAGAGGAAAAAGAAGAAGAGGGAAATCTGGGTCCATTGTTTCATTCTATCAACCTGCTGTAGTTCAATCAGTGCTGTGAACCCAGTATGGTGTTCTGGGTTCTGGAATCTGGATCCAATGTTTTTTTCCACTGAACCACATTGCTTCATTTGCCTTCTAGTCAAAAGGCAAACCTTTCCCTCTAGCTGGGATACCCTAAGATGCTACTTCAGCACCAAGGACAGAAGACATGCTCCTGGACTCTAGTAGCTCTTATGAGAACTGGAAGCTATTGATGAATTGACAGGATTGAGGAATTACCCTCTAAGTTGTGGTCTACTTATTATTATATAGATTTTAAAATTGCAAGGATGACAGAAAGGTAGCATGGTGTAGTGGTGGAAGACTTGGGTTCTAGTCATTCCTCTGACACATTGGTTGTGTGACTCTGGACAAGACACCCTTTCGGTGTCCCAGAAAACTCTCTAAGATGATAGATTGCAGAGCAGGTTCATTAGGACCTTGGACAGAGGGTTTCCTCACAGGGAGTTCCTTATGCCAGTAAAATCAAATGTTTGATCCCTGAAAATGGGGTGGACCAATGTATTTAGAAGAGATAAAGCCATTGTCTTTCTACATCACCCCATCTCACATTCTCTGTTGTTGCAAAAAAAAAAATTGTTCCTGAATTCCATAATTTTACACTGATACCTTCTCCCCAAAGTGGAAACAAAATTCCCTAGAAATCACAGATAACTTTCTATTTTTCAAGAACGTGGTGGAGCCAATATTTTGTCAACTATTCCTTATTGCACAGAAAAGCTTCATTCTGGGAAACCAGAGCTACCCTAGCCCCTGAGGCTGTAATACACTGGGATATTCCACTTCAATGAGACAAATGAAACGTTATAAGCATGGTTTGGGGGTAGGTGTGGGGAAAGTCAGCACCAGAATCTCACATCTGGAAGGGACCTCAAAAGCCATTGAGTTGAATCCACAGCTGAACAGGAAATCTAGTTGCCTGACATTCAGCATCTGCTGGAAGGCTTTTATGGAGGGGGAACCCTCCACCTTCCAAGGCTGTCTACTCCACACTGGCACAACTCTAATTCTTAAGAGATCTTTTCTAACAACAAACCTAAACTTGCTTCTTTGCAACTTTTAGCTGTTGTTCCTCGATTTGCTCTCTGGAGCCAAGCAAAAGGCAGAGTATCAGAGGGTCACAGATTTTGAGCTGGAAGGGACCTTAGAGGTGATCTCATCCAATTTCTTCATTTCGTTGATGAGGCAACTGAGTCTTAGAGGTTAAAGTGACTTTCCCAAGGTCACACTAGTGGTACAGTACAAAACTGTTCATATGAATTTATTTCCTCTGACTCCAAATTCAATGCTCAAGGCATCTTACTTCTGAATTTCTTATTTTTAAAAACAGTGACAATACTTGTACTAAAATGTGGGAGTTGGTCTGATTAGCCCAAATCTGTGTGAGGAAAGTACTTTGTAAACCTTAAATCAGGATGTAAATATGCTGTTGTTATTATTGTTATTTCATGAGGACTTCTGGAAGGCTGGAGCCCGAGGGTGGGAAGATTTGGAGACCTGTTTTGCACTTCCAGATTAAGGGCAAGTAATAACCAACTACCTGATGCCACCATCATGCCTATACTCTTACCTGAACCAGGCTTCTGGGTTCACAGTATTAAGGTCTACTAGAATAACCTAAGAGATAGCTACTGATGGTAAAGAGGATGATGAAAGAAAAGTTTTGCCTGCCTTGGAGAGTAAAGGAAATACATATTTCCACTCCTGGCCCTATGAGTTTGGAAATGAAAAAAAAAGGATAGGCTAAAAGTAGAGGTAGTAAGGAATGAAAGTCTTTAGGGGGAAAGCCCCATTTCACTAGATGCCAAGAGTGTAAGAAAAGGAGAATCAAGGATAATGTGTTGACAATTGATCATATATATATATCCTTCAAAGGATATAATGTCAAGAGTGAAAAGACTGTCAAAATTGGGAAAGGGAGGGCTAAGGTGAATAGGGATGAGAAAATGGGGAAATGTGGCTACTGAAAGGAATGTGTGCCTGCCTGGAGATTCAAGAGTCCCTATTCAGAGTTAGTAATATTCCTTTAAAGGCAGCTAGGTGGCAAGTGGATAAAGTGCTGGGCTTGGATTGAGGAAGACTCATCTTCCTGAATTCAAATCTTGGCCTCAGAAAGTTACTAGCTTTGTGACCCTGTTTGCCCCAGTTTTTTTCATCTGTAAAAAGAGCTGGAGAAGGAAATGGCAAACCACTCCAATAAGAAAACCTCAAATGAAAAACAACTGAACAACAAGAAAGGAAAGAA